GCAGGCGCTCACGAAACTGCTAAGGTGAAACGCGTAACTCACTGTAGGGAGCAGGACCGTCATCGAAACTGACACCCCAGGTGTTCTTGTCAGGGCACGCGACAATATCGTTGCCAGACGTCCATCCACCGCACGTCCACCAACCGCGCTGCTGGGCCTGCGCAGCGGCCTGCGGGTCACTCGCACACTCACCGTCGACGGTCGGGGTGATATCGGGGATGTCGTGACCATCGAGCTCCTTCATCCACTCCTTGACCTTATCCGAGTCTGCTCGACGGCACATGATGAGCATGCACACTATCAAGACACGACAAGATCACATACCGGTGGGAGGGATCTGGTCCAGGGCCGGCCAGTCCGCAGAGCTGAAGACGACTGTGGATGTCTCGATTGAGACCTCGCTCACTCTAGATCACAAACCGTCGATCACACGTACACTTCGAGGGGAGAGCGGGGGCGTTCGAGTACGTCGGCTGAGCGCCAGCGGGGAACGTCGTCGACAGGGTGGGAGTAGGACCCGAAGGCATGCCTGAGTTGAGGACTGACAAAGGAGGGACATTGTAGCTGCCAGTGCCAGAGACAGCAGCAGCAGTTGTGGCTGCACTGGTGCCGGTCGCGGGGGCAGTCGTCACGCCAGTCGCTGCACCAGTCGTCGTCGCACCAGTTGCGGCGGCACCAGAAGTCGTCGCGGCGCCGGCCGCGGACGAGGTGGTGCCCGACGAGGCTCCCGCAGGAGCAGCAGGGTCGGCCTGCCGTTTGTGTGCGATGTCGTGGTGGGCACGGGGGTGGACGCCGTGAGCGTTGACGAGCTCAAGAGAGAGCGAAGCAGCCAAAAGAGCGGACAGCGCAGAGAGAGGCAGCATGGTCGCTGTGTCTAGGAGGGAGGTCGCAGAGGGCGCAACTCGCAATGCGACGTATAGGACAGAGATGTAGGGAGGGAGGGTGCCAGATGGCAACTTGGGAGTCAGATGTCGGGATGAAAACAGGAGGGGTTGCAACCGAAGCGACCAACTCGGCGGATGGTCTCCCGAGGCCTCGACTACTTTAGCCGAGAGGCGGAGACAACGGGTAGCGCTTGGCGATCCCAGTCTCCTTGGTCGCCATGTCAGGAAGGACTGTTGATGCGGTTAAAGGTACGATTTGCGTATCCACTCGCCGGGGTTCGGCGGGCTCGGTGGGTACCAACTGTACTGACTTCGAGCTTGTGCAGATCCTCGCAGACCCCTTCCAAGGCTTTCAATGGCCCTCGAGGGCTCAACTGTTTGTCAAGGAACTGCGAAATCCGCGGAAAATTCGCCATATGGAAGATCGGCCCTTGGCTTGGCAGGGCGTTTTTCTCGCCGTCGCGCACATGGCTCTGAACCTGGCGTCTACTGACTCTCCTCCTGAACCTCAACATGTGCACGGTCAGCGGGGCCGAAGCATTTCAAGTTGCAAGCAACACCGGCACTCACAGAGTCACACTAAGGCAAGGAGGAGGAGGGAAAGGCAGAACCACGGGCTTGACAGCTTTCCCCTCTTATATCCTGCGGCGCAGCGACAGGCAGGCCAGGAATAGCTTGACGTCGTTCGAGTTGTGTCATCTCAACATTGCCCGATTCGGAAACGAACACACCATATATGCACTGCGACATTGAGGACGTTAGTTCAGAGAATGATGTCATTATTCGAAGGCTGCTCATGACATCGTGAAAATCGTAGTCGTACAGTAGCGTACAGTATGTGAGTCTCTGATATCGAACAGCGGCAATCGAGCGCACGGTTCCTCAGACTAGTTGACGTGTATGTATGTGCCCTGATTACAGCGGAAAGTGGCATGTCCGAGTCATGATAGTGTTCATATCCCGCAGAACTCCGTGAGAATCAGACATGAAGTGAATGTCAATCGGACGTTGCCAGTTACTGCGTCTTCTTTTGATTCGGCGAGCCTTGGTTGTCGATGAGGTTCGCTTGAGCTTCCAGCTGGGCGGCCCAGAGTGCGGCACCGACGGTGTTGGTGAAGCTGAAGAGGAGACCGACGAGCGGGATGAAGTTGAACAGCAGGGTCATCATCCCGAACCTGCAGCCATCGTGTCAGTACCCCAGTGAGAATCGGACAGATTGATCGCACTCACGCCGTATACTCCGCTCGCTTTTGCTCAATAAATGCAGCACGCTGGTTCTTCGAGAACCCCTTGAGCTCGAAGTAATGCGAGTGCCAGCCGGGTCCGCTGGTGTGGCCATTGTACAGCAAGAACAGCACCGTGCCGACCGCCGGAATCATGTTGAGGGGCAGCGTGAGGAGGTAGCGCACCATCCCGTCCTTGGAGAAGGCCTGGAGCGGCTTGACGAGCGCGCTACCCACGTTCCGCGCTGCAGAGCTCTGGGTCCGGGTCTTCCCATCCTTGACGAGCTGGCTCTGCCCCTGGGCGGCGAGCGTGGCGTCAAAGACGTGTGTGAGCGCAGTCTCGAGGAAGAGCGCGCGACCGAAAAGCGAGATGATGAGGATGGACTCGGCGCCGACGACGATGAGCGCAATGATGGGGGCAAGTGGGCCCGTGAAGATCGCGAGGATGGCCATCTGTGGGAGGTAGGTGAAGAATGCGACGACGCCGAATATCGCTGCCGAGGCGGCGAGTGACTTCAGGAGGGCATGGCGAACGGAGAGCAGGATTTGTGGGTCTGCACAGCGATATTCTTCGTCAGTACGCACTCGTCCCAAAAGCACGAATATAACACTTGGACCTACGTGTGACGGAGTAAATTATGCCACGAATAGGCCAGAGCCACGAAAGGGAGGCAGCTGCCTGCCAACCGTGTGCGGCAGTCTCTTGTGCTTCGCGCTTGACGTTCTCAACGAGAGAATGAGACTTGGAGGCCACTTGTTGCTGAAGCGAGTTTTGTGAGCTGGTATGGGTAGACATGGTGGTGGTGTTGAAGCAAGGTGTGCGGAGGCAGCGATGGCGTCCATTGCGACTCAAGAGAGGTGGTAGACCGATGACATCACCGACGCTTCATGCTCGCCCGAGTTTCTCGGGCGGGGCTCGAGCGCTTCCTAATACGACTTGCTCCACTCCCTCGCAGTACTCGGTGTCCGCCGTGCGACCTCGACAGGCTTTATCTGGATATGGGATCTCCTGCACTAACCACACAACGAGGTCCGGCTGCGAACACCGGACAGTAAGAAGGCGCAGCTACAGCAAGGAGTCCACGACATAACGGTGAGTTCCACATAACAAAGCGCTAAGTAATCGTACGGCAAAGCCGCCAGAAAGGCGAGGCGACGGCGACGGGAGGTGAGTGAACATCAGTGACCTCTAACTTGCTCCTCAAGCCACCCCCACAGACGGCCAGCAAGCTTCTCGTCATAAGCCTGCTTGTTGAAGCACTCCTCCTCTCGGGCCCATGGGATCAACCACTGCAAACGAGGTCCGATCGTCAGCGGTCGCAGCAGAGCACACTCGAGAATATTGCACCTTGCCGTTCAGCTTCAATCCCTCGGGCGCCGCCCCGGCATACAACGGCGTTATCGCGCCCATAGGCACAGGCCAGTGAACAGCATGCTACTCCCGGTCCCTTCAGCACCCTGTCTTCTCTCCGCATACTGACATGAGCAACTCACCAGTGCTGCTCTCTTCACCGCATTGATATGCCGCATCAGGTCCGTCTTCAAGATCCCCGGGTGTAGCGCTACCGTGACGATTCCCTGCTCCCCATACCGCCGCGCGAGCTCGAACGCGACAAGCACGTCCGCGAGCTTGCTCTGGTTGTACAGCTCCTCCGTGCTCATCTTCCGGCGCTCCGGTCCATCCTTGAACGTCTCGAAGTTTAGGTGCCCGAGGTACGCATACGCGGAGGATGTCACGACGACACGCGCGTGGCCGTCCGGCGAGGAGCCCTTGCCCTTGAGGAGCGCAGGCAGGAGCAGCTGGGTCAGGAAAAATGGCCCGAGGACGTTCGTTCCGAACTGCAAGTCGTATCCGTCGGCGGTCACGTCCGCGACTGGAGCCCACATCACACCTCTGGACATGGGCCATCATGAGCGCGTCCGGAACGATCAGTGCACGACCACGCACGCGTTGTTGAAGAGGGTATGTAACGCCTCTTCTTTTGACAGGAACTCCTCCGCCGCTTGCCGGACAGACGCTAGGCTATTCAGGTCGAGCTGGATGAAGTGCGCCTCCTTGCCCGTCTCCGTCTTCAGCTCCTCGATGGCCGCGAGCGCCTTCTCGCGACTGCGGGACGCCATGTACACCTTCGCATTGTGCTTGAGGAGCTCCTTGATGATCTCCTTGCCGATGCCCGTGTTACCGCCTGCACGTCGCCCTCGTCAGCTCCCAGGTCGACACAAAGCAACACCTCTTCCCTGCGAACGCACCAGTGACAAGCATGACGCGCCCAGACAAGTCCGGAAGCTGGTCCGGGGTCCAGTGTGGCTTCGGCGGGTACACCGACTGCTGCAATAGCTTCAGGTTGCCCTTCAGTTCGAAGCAGATCCCCGACATGTTCGCTGGCTCTTCCGGTGCAGGTGGAGTGGAGTACGCGCTAAGTACCTGGCCATCACGATCATATATAGAGCTCAACACCGTGGGCACAGGTCTGAGGTCCCTCGTCGGATAGTCGATCCCATCGAGGGGCTACAAGCTTGCAGATTCCAACGAAGTTCGGGCACTGCCTCCGGTTCATCGACAAATCGCCATCATTGGTGACCGCAGGCTGCATCATCAACGCTTGTCGTAGCGCGACTGCGACAGGCTTGATGTCGTGTTGAAGCGGACGCAGCAAGGAGGATGCACCGTACGTCTGATGATGACGTGTGGGTGCCGGTCGTAGTTCGTAGAGTAATAGGTACTAGACGACGTGAAGCTTGGTATTCGTCCTAGGGTCGCACGTTCGGAAAATGATGCATGTCCTTGGTAGAGCCACTGTGTTCAATCATACGGTCCGTACCTATGTACCGTACTCGCACATCGTCAAGGCTTCTTGCCACAGAGATGAAAAAGATGTCTACAACACTCAAATGACCACCGCAGGGGTCGAACCTGCAATCTCCTGATTACAACGCACCATGAGGAACAATCAATCGTAGTCAGACGCGTTGCCATTACGCCAGGCGGCCACATCTACATGAGCATAGTGCGACCCATCAGGTGCACCTGCATGCACTCCCGAGCGTTGCAAAGGAGAGTCTACTGCTACTGTCTAGATTCTGGCATGTTTTGTACTGACGGCGATACGAGAGAAGGGAATCTTCGGCGGGTCAAGTTGACGGTCCTCCGGTTTGCCGAAGTTCCACCCTTTTCATGTAGTTCTGCGCACGCTGACGAAGAGGCCCACAGATACCGGAAGGCGCACGATGCAGATACAAAAGGGTCAAGGTACGGCAAGCGGACGGTGACTCGATGAGCGTTGGGAAGGCCATGCGACGAAGAGACGAAACCGGAGAGAACATCGACACTCTATAACGAGAAAGCCAAGATGCAACTTGAAGAAAGTGAACCGGACACATGTCATGCAGAAGACGACTCGGACAGTACGGCTGCCTGAGACGCCTGGAACCCCTCTTCCTCCTCCCACTCGAGCTCATCGTCGGACGGTGCAGGAAGGTCCGGGTTGATGAAGGCTCCAAGCGACGAAATGAAGCTTGGTGTGTCGTACAGGTGCTGTGAGGAATACAACGGATCACTGGGGTCGAGTCTGACGACCCTCTTGTTCGCTTCGTGGAGGTCGAGGAGGAAGCGCGAAATGAGGATGGCTGTGAGTCTGCAGATGGGATGTGGTGGCGAGCAGTCAGTCCCGGCATGTCATAATTCTGATAAAATTCGAATGCATACGGGGCGGTGAATGCGGTGACATCACTTGCGCCGTCGGTCGTGATCTGCAGCTATCCAGATGTTTGTTGTCAGCATCGTGCGTCTAGGCTAATGAGACAGACTAAAGCGACTTACTCCCGTCACTGAGAGAGCAAGATGGAGGACATTCAGGATGGACAGAACTCTGATGACAAGTGCCCAGATATGTCAGATCCCCGGGTGAATTGGCGTTCAAGTTGCTGATGACATACACGAAGTATATGGTTCCTGCAATGACGGGGAAGAAATGCTAGTAAGCCTCAACTGTCCTCGGTCACATACATCGATGCTGGCCCGAAGAGACAACATACCGTCGCGGAAGAGGATATGCGAAAGCGTCGGCCTTCTGGACCGTCCGATATACTTCAACTTGAAGGCTTCCCGACTTCTCACCGTTGTCCAGGTGATGTATACGAGTAGGATGTCGGCCACGATCAGAGGTACTCGGGAGACGATCACAACTGCGCGGTTCCATAATCAGTGTACTGAGGATTCGATGTATCGGAGCTAACCTACGCCTTACGCAGTGTCAGTGCCAAATGAGATAAGATAGAGAAAGTCGACACGGAACCTTAGATTGGTCGCCTCTGTCAGATTGTCTGTCCAGAGGCAGCCAAAGGGCGGGAAAATCTGTCCTGAGAAATGATAGCCATATACAACCTGCAACGTCAACCGGTCAACGTCTAAACACATGGTGTAAGGAATATCGGTTCACTCACCAGATTGGCACCTACTGGCGCTAGGGATAGAGCGAGGACCAGTAGTCCGAGGAGCTTGCTCCTGCTCAACACGTATGCACGAAGGGCGGAGAAAACTTGTGAAGACACATCAGCTACTAGTATACCGTTCTGAGAACTGGGAGCGCGACTTACCGGCTCCAGGAACGAACTGCAGTACTCCGGCTGCATATGCTACTACTGTAGAGTTTCGACCGATGCGGTGCAGGCCCCAGCGGGGTGTGACCTGTAACCGCCCGCAGTCGCCGGAGCGGAGCGGAGGCGCCCAAAATTTGCCTGATTTGGCCTGATAAACGCCCGAAAACCGAGCCAAAACGCGAAAATGGGGGCCCCAAAGGGGCCGTGACCTGTGACCTACAGCACGATGCGGTGCGGCGGAGGTCCCTGTGACCTGTGACGCGCCGCATCGGTCGAAACTCTACAGTATCACCAAGGAGGTACAACTGTGGCCAATACTTAGTCAGTCTGGATTGCTCCAAAGTTTGCAACTTGGTTATACACAAACCTCTGTATACAGTCAATCAGATGTGCCACTGAGAAATGGGCGAGACAGCTCACCTTCTCCGAAGGGAAAGATGCGAATTCGACCAACGACACTATATAGGTCACCACGGAAATATACTTGTTCGCAAAGAACAAGAGTGATGCTCCGGTCCACTTGATAACCCAGAATATGTGCACCTCTCAATCGAACGTGACCAGCGCATCGTAGAGGAAGAGAACTAGTGCCAGTGCAGCGAGAGAGAGCATCAGGTTGACAAGGTCGCTTGAGAGAGAGAACGCGAGAGAACACACCTGAAACTGCCACCGTGCAGTAAACTGTGGTATAGCTGTTTGACGACGTCAGGAAGTATTATCCGGCGCGATGAGTGGCCAAGAGATATATGACGTACAGGGTGTCAAATACTTGAGCTGCGGTTGCAGCTGCAGCAGCATCTGCATTGGAGGACATGCTGAAATCGGTTAATGGTTGTCGCCTTGTTGAGAACGAGGGATGACTGCAATGGTGTTTATTGCACAACCAGGTTATATAGTCGAGCATGGCGAGGCGGTCAACATATTGGACGCCGCCTCCCCAACGGGCACTGGGGTACTCACCAGTTGCATCTGCCACATCTGACCACATCTGACCCAATCACGTCAACTGAAATAGAGTGTGAGGGTGCACAGAGTACTACAATGACTGCGGCTGCTTGCACAACAGAAGTTCACGTCCGTCTAAGCATAACAGGGTGCGTTCTGGAGATGACTTGGATGTTCAGTCATGACTCGGAAGGCTGCGCAGAAAACGTACTGAAGTGCTGAGCGCAAAGTCAGCTCTTGATTTGCGCCCATGAGGAATATACAGCTGCAGGCGACACCCTCAGCTATCAGATTGAAGCGTGTACACCAGTGTCTCCTGGACAATTTGAAACAGAGATGTGACAGCATGGATGCTGTTTCCAAACACGGCGCCACCAGCTTGGCTCAGCCTTGGGAGTGACCGTATCTCGATGGTTTGTTCTCGTCTTTGATGTTTGCGCGGAGGGCGGGTTCACCGTCTACCGCATAGCGCTGTAGCATATGGTCTGATACCGATGTTGTTGATTGGATTGTCGCCGAGGGGCTGCTACGACCGACAGAAAAACGTTATTAAGCAGGTTGTCTGGCACACAGGTGCAGGAACTGGCACGTACGAGCCGGTCTCTTCTGCCAGACTACTCACTGAACACCGACATCTGGTACCGGCCAGTGGCAGACGGTGCCAGTGGTCAATGTCGTTGATATCACGATTGAGCTCCTGACAGGGATGGATTGAGTATGTAGGTACGACAGTTTGAGAGAACACGTACGGGGGCTCTTCGTCAGTAGTGTAAGGAGCTCGTGCTGTTGGAACTTGGGACAGACAGTTGAACGTTGAGGCCTGACTTGGAGCTGACGGTGGAACCATGGTCGCGAAGCGGTCCGGACTTCACGTGGGTTGCGTCAATATACGATTCGTCGGACTCGGACCTCTGCCGCTCCCTCCTCTTCCTGCAGACTCGTTACAATACATACTCTGGCACGACCACGGGCACTCGCTAGCTAGCTTATTCCATACGAAGCTGCGGCTACTCCCACCGATACTACTTACTCGAACTCGCCGTACCGTCACCCCGCCTCTCTCGATATCCCTCTTCCGACGGTCGCCCCGTACAGGAGACGGTGTAGGACCATCATCAATAGGCGGAGGTACTTTGCATCTGGTGATATGATGGGCTGCGTTGCGTGGACTCGGGCAGGTGCGTCACGCCGTTGTAGCTGGCTTTGTACGCGTGCTTATTCCCAATACCTTCCAGGTTCACTTGCACAGTCCGATATTGCTCTCCGGCCCAGAATACCTCTGTCTTTGCGCCCTGAATTGATCTCACCTGTTAGCTGCACGGCCATGAGCTGAACGAAGGGCAGGGTACAGCTGTGCGCTCGCCATCATTCGCCCGTAGCCCGTTGTCGACAACCTCAAGGGGCAACTAGATGAAGAACCGACCCGAAATGCAAGGATCTCGTGCGCGGTGAGACTGACCCATTCCTATGGCTTCTCAGGGTGATGTCCCAATCATTGCGAGGGTGCACTACCGAGTCTTACTTGACCTGCCTCGACCTCTGGGCGAACAGCTCGTCTTTGGCCGGCTTCCCAGGTCTATCCGAGTGCTGTTTGTACACCATGTCCTCTATCCCCCCAAAGTCCAGCCTTCAACTACTACTGAACAACATAAGTATGGGACGTTCGCCTCGCGACTGCCAACCGGGTCTTCGCAACCGTGCCACTCGTCTTGCGCATACTCTGGTCATCATGGCTCGGTGTGCTAAGCGCGAGGTAGCCTACCAACTATACGGCGATCCTGGCAGGGTCGCGAGCTCATTTGGAAACGTGTTTGCATAGCGGAGGTTCGCAGGCGGATTGCAGAATCCTTTGAGGAGAGGCAGTTGTTACGTGGGGCGGACTGTTCGCGTAGAGTTCAGCGACGTCTTGGATACTTATATATATCGTCCACCTAACAGCGCATACAGAAGAGACCGCAGTTTCGAGCATCCGAGCTGGAGTACGGCCTCGCTCGCGGGTTTGCCATGGCTAAGTGCACTTCGGAGTAGAATGGTCAAGCTACCGGTGAGCGGCCCGTGAATGCGGGAGTAGCAAGAGGCGTACTGCGACGCAGCCTCATAGATACACATACGAGACTCGTCAATGCCAACACTTCCAACTATCGACCATCTGTAATAGAACCCCAGGGAGGCAACACGACAAAGAGACGTCACCGCAGTAATCAGTTTGAGGCGAACCGACTGACGTCACAGGCAGAAGACCGGGCTGCAAGGAGAAGCATCGTGCGCAGACTACGCGGAGGAGGAGGACGGCGTGACAGCGAGCTGAGGTGCCTGTGCAGAGTCGCCTCCTTCCTCTGCATCCGGGCGTGAGAGAACGTGCAAGTCGTGTTCGTCCTCGGACGTCGCCGGAAGCCCCGGGTTGATGAAAGTGCCGAGGGATGAGATGAAGCTTGGCGTGTCGTATG